GGGGCGGGGGCGAACGGGAGTAGCTGAGGAGAGGAGGTTGCCAGTTCTGATGAGGGGTTTAGAGTTTGTTACTCGCCGCGTTTTGCAGACAGGGCTCTGAGACCCAGAGTGGGAAAAGACTTGTGCAAGGCCACAATTAGGCAGAGGAGAACCCTTGCGAAATGACTGTGAGCAACATTATTGTTTACCTTGCATTAGTTACAAATCTCTCCGTTCAACACTCTGCTTGGACGATCCCATCCGCTCCCCTGACTTCAATTATAAGTGACCCCCACATTTTTATTTCCAGTCCAGAAGTCTTTCTCCTCAGCTCTTGTTTCGCTATCCAAGCACTCCTTTGGATGTCGATTTGGATTTCATTCATTCTTGCACTTCCTCTAGGTGCTAGGCATTTTGGTCGGTGCTATGAATGCAGTAGTGAACGGGACAGGCAAGGCTTCTGCCTTTAGAGCATTCACAGTCTAGTTGGAGAGACTAACTTTAATCAATGAACATACTAAAGGTAAAATCTCAAACAAAGATTTGAAGTTAGAGAAACTTCAAAAGGGAAACTGACTAGACTGGGCTTGAGATGGTATCTAAGGTCTGAGTAGAGGTAACTAGGTAGGTGTGAGGGAAGAGAAACCTCTGGGAGCATTCCAGTGAGGAAAACAGAAGGTGCAAATATTCTGAGTTCTGAGTGAGAACATGCTGGAGCACCAAAAGAGGAAGGTGGAAGTTGGGGAACAGGGAGCCTGGTAAGAGATGAGGCTAGAGAGGTGGGCAGGGGGCAAACCATGCCTTGTAAGCCAAGTAAGTGTTTCAGTCTTTATTCTGAGGGTAGTGGGAGGCTATTGAGGGGTTTGGGGGAGGAAATGACGTTATTAGAACTGTATTTTAAAATGTCCTTTCTGGCTATAGTGTGGAAAATGGTTTGGAGAGGAACAAGAAAAGAGAGAGAGAGGCCACTTGGAGCCTGTTGCAAAAGCCCAATACAAAAATGATGGAGTGAATAGATGTGGATGTTCCATGGGCATCTATACTGCAACAATTCCAAAACTGAACTCAGCATTGCTAGAGTATGATGGTGTAGCCTGGTGGTTAAGGGCAGAATAATGGCAAGGACCCCAGAGTTCAACTGCCAGCTTTATATCCAGGTTCAACCACTTCCTGGCTGAGTGTCTTTAAGCAAGTCCATTAACATCTTTGTGCCTCAGTTTCTTCACCTGTAAAATGATAACAGCCCCTACTTCATAGGGTTGTAGTGAGGACTAAATGACTTCTAAGCACAATGTCTCTTTCCCTGAAAAAGGCTTCTTGTGTGCTCCTCATCTGAGGGACACCACAAGCAAGAAACCTGGACATTGTTCTGAATTCTCTCTCTCTCTCACCTCCCGTTCCTGTCACCAAATCTGGATTAGCCTTCCTTCTAACCTGATTTTGCAGCTCCCAATTCTTCTACCACCATCCCCTCTAGCTCATCACCTCTCACTTGTACCTGCTAACTCTCTGGCCTGCCTGCTTCCCTCCCTTTAGCCTTGGCTTCATTGTATAGTTCAATTCCATGGACAGCCTTCAGATTCTTCCATGTGCCAGGCGCTGTTCCAGGGCACTGGCAAAACAAAGACAAAATACACACATTCCTGGTCCTCAAAAAGCACAAAGGAATCCTGTGGTAAAAAGAGAAACGTCCACATTCTCTGTGCTGTGTGGGTAAGTTACTTCCCCTCTCTGGAACTCAGTTTCCCCAATCTGTAAAAACTGTTTGGAACCAAATGATTTCTTAAGGTCCATTCAGCAAAAATATTCTAAGATTCTTCCACTGGCTTCTTAGCCTCTCCCAGGCAGAAACCTTGCTTGATTCATCTTTGATCCTTAGTATGCATAGTAAGGGGCTTTGCACAATGTTTGCTGAATGATTGGATGAGTAAAGTCAATGGATGAACAAGTATCACTCTCCTGCTCAAAGGCATTTAATGGCTTCCCTTTGCCAACAAGATAAGGGCCAATCTACCTAGAAGGTGCTCAGAGCCCCTTACAGCCTGATCCCACCCCACAGTAAGCTGAATATCCCCCGACCCTGGGAACCACTGCCTCCCAGAGCAGAATAGAGATCCAGGGAGGATTTAGAAGAGCTTCATCCATTTGGCAAACATACATTGAGCTCCTATTACATGCCAGGCCCAATGCTGGTGCTGGGAACACGATGGTGAACAAGACCAATGGGTCCCTGCCCACAAGGGCTGATGTTCTAGGAGAAGCCATGGAGAAACGGACCACATAGTGTGATCAGTGCTATGAAGGGGAGCCACTTTTCCAGGCCTGAGATCAGGGAAGGCTTCCCAGAGGAAATGACATGTAAGCCAAAGTCTACAGGGGATTATGAGAGGTGGAGGTGAGGAGGGAGAAGGCATGTTTCGAAGAGCAAGTGGTCCTCTAGCTTCTCCTTGCATAGCCTGAGTCTAGGAGCACACCAGCTCTCTTATAAAGTCCTTCTTCTCCTGACCCCAAGCCTACCCTATCCAACCCCTTAATTAATAAGAATAGTAGTTAACATATTATGTTCATTCAGTGAATATTTATTGAATGCCCACTTTGCACCTGCCAGGTGCTTTACATGCATTACCTAATTGATTCCTCACAGCTGCTCAGTGAGGTAGGGATTGTTATCACCCCCATTTTTCAGATGAGAAAACTGAAGCTCAGAACTTGTGGCATGCCCAAGGACCCCTAAGTGTCAAGTCTCAACCCTAGGTTTGTGTGGTTCCCGGATCCCTGCCCCTACCCACTGACCCTCGCTGCCTCCCCTTGGGCTAGGCTCACCCAAATGCCTTTCCCTCAGATCCACTTGGGCCCCATCCCTTGTCCCCTCCAGCAGGCTGGCCAGTCCGGGCGTCGGCCTCCATCCCTCTGAAGCTCCTAGGGAGACAATGGCGAGGTCGGCAGGGGAGGCGAAGACTCGGGTGCCCCCCTGCCCGCTGCCCTTTGTCTGCCCGCCTGCTACCCTCTCGTGCCCCGGGAGGCTGGGAGGCGCCTCTCACAGGCTTCCTCCTCCCATTCTTGTGCTAATTGGGTGTCAAGCTGAGATCAGTGAGAAAGAAATTCGCCCCGGCTCGGGCTAAACTGCCGCCAAAGACGAGGGCTGAGCCCAGAATATCATTAGGCTGGGAGGAAGCAGGGCCCCCTCCTCAGGGGGAGGGGTCCAGCCTCTTATTCAGGCCCCTTTGAAAGTCATTTGGCTGCCCCCTCCGTTGCTGCTGCCGCCTCAATGGGCCCCTCAGAGGTATTTAACCTTCTTCCCAGGGGTTGAAAGTGATACACCAAGCACTGGCTTGGGCAGCCACTTGCCTGTCCTGAGGGCGGGAGGGACCTCCAGGGTCGCTTGAGGCAAGCCCCTTTGGCCTCCCTGGGCGGAACCGGCAGGTTGCAGATGAGAACACTGAGGCTCAGGGAGGGGGGCTTTCGTACCAGCTCTGCCATTCACAGGCTTTGTGGTCTTTGGGGAGACTTTGGCTGTCTAAGCTTCAGATTCCTCATCTGTGGAATGGGGATAAAAATGGTACATACTTTGTGTTCTGGATTGAGGGAGATCATACACATAAAGCTCTGTGAACAATGCTTGGCACGTGGTAAGTGCTCATGCATGGTGACCATTAGCAAGACTCCAAGAAGTGGATTTGACTGGATACAAGGATTTCCTAAGGGAGCTCCCAGTCTCTGGAGGTGTGCAAGTAGAAGTGCTCACAGAGGGTTAACTTTTCATACCTGCCTCAACCTTATCCCCTTCTAACCCTGCAGCCTCACTGAACTGCATTTGCCCAGCTGGCCCTTCACCTCTAGGCCTTTACATTTTGCTGCTCTCTGTCTAGAATACTCTCCACTCCTGTTTTTGGATAACTCTTCCTTGAAAGTCCTCCCTGACCACGAATTGTGCTACTTCACCTCCCTGCCAGGGCTGGGTTAGCTGCAGTTCAGCATACCCGTACTTGCTGCCATCTAGTCAATTCCGACTCATAGTGACCCTGCAGGACAAAGTAGAACTGCCTCATAGGGTTTCCAAGGCCGTAATTTTTACGGCAGCATACTGCTACATCTCTCTCCCTCGGAGCACCCGGTGGGTTCGGACCCCTGACCCTTCGATGCACAGCTGAGCGCTTAACCACTGCGCCACCAGGGCTCTTAGCTCAGGACACACCATTTGCTTTCTCTCTCTCTCAGCCTCCTGGCCACCTGCAGATCGTGGGTCCCCTGAGGGCAGATCAGAATCTAGGTCTCTATCTTGCTCACCCTGGTGTCCTCTGCCCTCCTTGCACAGAGTAGACATTTACAATCAGTTCAACAGATGAACTTACACAGTGCTTTGTAAACTGTGAAGCACTATATAAATGTCAGAAGTGCCCAATAAACAGTAGTTATTATTGTTGTTAATTAAATTTACAAGCATTTATTGAGAACCTACTTCATGCATGGAGATGACTCACACACAGCCAGTAAGTCCAGATTAGAACCTGAGAGCTTCAAAGGCCAGTGGCCAACCAGGCCCACCCCTTTATGGATGGGGGGAGGTCCTGTGCAGAAGTGGGAAATTTAGGCCTATTTTGATGTCTTAGGAACCCTGATGGCACAGTAGTTAAAAGTTAGGGCTGCTTACCAAAAGGTCGGCAGTCTGAACTGACCAGTCGCTCCTTGGAAATCCTATGGGGCAGTTCTACTCTGTCCTACAGGGTCTCTGAGTAGGAACTGGATCAATGGCAACGAGTTTTGGTTTGATGTCTTAACACCTGAACATATCTCCTTTTCTTCTTTTACCTACCATGTATTGAGCAGAGATCAGCACCAGGCCCTGTGCTGAGACTTTCATTCACGATCTTATTGCATTTTCACCACCACCCGAGCTAGGGAGTCCTTCACCTCCATTTACAGGAGAGGAAACTGAGGCTTAGCCTAGCAAATGGTAGATCTGGGATTTGAATGTAGGCCTATCTGGCTCCAGAGCTGGAGCTCTTAACCACTACTCCATACTCCCTTTTGGTGACTGTGTTCAACTTTGAGAAGGAACAGAGCCCCCTGGGGCTTCTTCCCATTGTAGATAACTTGCTAAAAAAAAACAAAACAAATCTGTTGCTGTTGACTCAGTTCCGACTCTGAGAATTAAAGACAGAAAGCCATACTGTCAGCCGTCCAATCCCTTGGAAGCCTGACCAAAGGCCGTCAAAGGCCCACCACGGAGCCCTCTGGGTTGGGTACCTGCTTGAGGGTGAGAGCGGGGGCTCACAGCCCCTTCTTCAATGCTTCGCTCAGTTCAAAGGGCCGGGATTGGATTCTTCAAGCCCTATGCGCCCTCTGCTGACAACATTAGGGCACTGCATGCAGTCATACACGCCTTCTCCCAAACTCCTCAGCAACTCTCCCCAAGGGTCTCACACCAGCTCTGCTCCCCCTTCCCCCACAGAGGCACTCCAGATTTCTCTGCCTGTACACCTTCCACCTGAACCACCTGCTGGCCTAGGGTATGGCCAGCAGAATCAGCACGCATGGAATGGAACCTTTTCTGCTTTGCCTGTTGCCTCTGCTCCCAGGAGGCAGGTTGGTGCAAAGGGGAAGGGCAAGGACTCCTGGAGCCAGGCTGGGGCTTGCGTTCTAGCCCCAGTACTTGCTGTGTGACCTGGGCCAAGTGACTCAAAATCTCCAAGTTCTGGTTCTTTCCTTGAAAAGACCATTTATAAAACCCACCTCACAGACTTGTGGTTAAGGGTTAAATAGTGAAGATAAAGCACCCGTCACAAAGCAGGGGCACACGCTGCCCTCTGTTCTGGGTTGGGTGGACCCCTTTCCTAGTCAGCCGTGAGCTTCCTGGCTGGGTGACTCCATAATGGCACCTAGAAGGCAGCTGCCTCTAGACTGGCACTGCTGACAGTGTGGCTCTGTTAAGACTCTGCCCCAGGAACTTTTCTGGACTCTGCACAGGCTGGGTTAGGCAGCCTGCTCTGGCTCTCACAGCCCCCTGGGTCAACCTCTTCAGCCCCTAAGCAATTGGGGACATGGAGCCCAGACAGAGGGCAGAGCATGAACAATGGTCTGGAGATGGGACCCTGCCCTAAGTTAGGGTTTTCCCTTCAAAGACTCTGAACAGTACCTTCATCATAATGGCTACTTTAGCTCTCTGAATCCTCTGAACTGATTACTTCCATTTCACAGATGAGAAGACTGAGCCACTTGCTCAAGGCCACAAATAAGCAACAGAGGTGGTTTTGGGCTTTCAAGCCCACACTGTTCATCACCTTGCCAGACTCAAGTGGGAACTACCCTGTCGGAGACATCAGACTGAGGGCAAGCACTCTAGCATCTTACATGCCAGATTCCTAGGGTCTAAGTAAATGAATGGATGAGTGAGTGAATGGGTCAGAAGGTAGAGCTCGAGTAGAACCTAGACAAGGCTGGGGATGGGCTGGGGGACTCGGGGGTTGGAATGAGCTCAGGTGGTATGCACACAGTCTAGAGGGAGTCAAGGCAGAGTTTATTGGCCCCTGAGCCCCCCACTCCATTCCTCCTCCTCTCAGAGCCAGGCCAGGACTGAGATGGAGAGAGTGACATGGACAGATCCACAAAGACAGAAAAGCCCTGCTTGAGGGACAGCCAGGCAGTGACCCAGGGAGAGGAGGAGAGAAGGGGCACTCTGTCCAGGTCTCCCGCCACAGATGGGGCAGCTGGGGCCACGATGGGTCCTCCTCCTACCCTCCCGGAGGCGCAGGCAGGGCTGAGCGACATTTGGGCCTCTTTGGCCACCTGATCGGCTGGACCAGTGCTGCCCCTGCCCACTCTGCTGGCTTCCTGAGTCTGTCCTGGTCCCACTTAGGAGTGCCTGCTCTCTGGGGAGAACTCGGTGACCCCTCCACCACTCCCTGCCCTGACCCAAGACATCCTGAGGGAGCCTGGTCAGTCTCAGCCTGGGGCCCGGAGGCCCTACTGGCCTTGAAGACATAACATGGACATGAAGCTTTCACAGAAAACCTCTGGCAGGGGTGGGGAAGGTGGCAGTGAGTCACTTGGCAGTTTTTGGGGGATGGGGTCAGCACCTTGGGGTGGAGGTGCTGGGCCCTGCTTGCTTTGGTCTGGCATCACCCAGGACCCCTCTGGGGCGGGAGCTGGGGCTCTAGATCCATCATCTGCTGGCCCTCAGAGGGATGCGGGGGCAAATCACAGCTTCTGTTCGCCTGACTGGATGTGAGTGTAGGCTTCTTGGTCCAGCGGGAGGTAGCAGCCCTTCCGGCTGTCCAGATAGAAAAGTGGGTCTTTCACAACAGCTGGGTCAAAGCCCTCCTTTCGCAGCTCTGCCTTCTGGAACTTGTAGGTCCCTGGGGAAGGAGAGGAGATAAGGGGAAGAAAATCAGATGGTGCAGGGCAGGGGCCCAAACTCCCAAGAACCTAGCCACCAATATCAAGGTGTCAGAGGGAAGAAGGGTTGGAGAGAAAGCAGAAAAAGGGGAAGTGAGGGAGGAGAGGGGATATGACTCATTACAGTTTATAAAGAATGCTCCACTCAAGGATGCCCTGAAACTGCTACCCTGAGATAATCTTTAAATCTTAAACCAAAACTATCCCCAAAGTAATCTGTAATTGAACTAAACAACAGTTTAGCTTAACAAGTAAAGGATGTCTGCCTTGAGCATTGTGCTCTTTTAAAGAACTACGTATATGGTTCCCCTTGAGAAAGGGAACCAGACAAGGATGCCCTTTATCACCACTCTTATTCAGCATTGTGCTGGAGGTCCTAGCCAAAGCAGTTAGGCTAGAAAAAGAAATAAAGGGCATCCAAATTGGTAAGGAAGAAGTAAAAGTATCTCTATTTGCAGATGATATGATCTTATACACAGAAAACCCCAAAGAATCCACAAGAAAACTACTGGAACTAATAGAAGATTTCAGCAATGTTTCAGGATACAAGATAAACATACAAAAACCAGTTGGATTCCTCTACACCAACAAAGAGAACTTCCAAGAGGAAATCCTCAAATCAATACCATTTATAATAGCCCCCAAGAAGATAAAATACTTAGGAATAAATCTAACCAGAGATGTGAAAGACCTATACAATGAAAACTACAAGACACTAATGCAAGAAATCAAAAGAGACCTGCATAAGTGGAAAAACATGCCTTGCTCATGGACAGGAAGATTCAACATTGTGAAAATGTCAGTTCTACCCAAAGCGATCTACAGATATAGTGCAATTCTGATCCAAGTTTCACTGGCATTTTTTAATAAAATGGAGAAACAAATCACTAACTTCATATGGAAAGGGAAGAGGCCCTGGATAAGTAAAGCATTACTGAAGAAGAAGAACAAAGTGGGAGGCTTCACATTACCTGATTTTAGAGCCTATTATACTGCCATGGTGGTCAAAACACCTGGTACTGGTACAACAACAGATACATAGACCAGTGGAACAGAACTGAGAATCCAGATGTAAATTCACCCACCTATGAGCAGCTGATATTTGACAAAGGCCCAAAGTCCATTAATTGGGAAAAAGACAGTCTGTTTAACAAATGGTGCTGGCATAACTGGATATCCATCTGCAAAAAACTGAAACAAGACCCATACCTCACACCATGCACAAAAACTAACTCAAAATGGATCAAAGACCTAAATATAAAATCGAAAACGATAAAGATCATGGAAGAAAAAATATGGACAATGCTAGGAGCCCTAATACATGGCATAAACAGAATACAAACCATAAGTAACAATGCACAAGCACCAGAAGAGAAACTAGACAACTAGGAGCTCCTAAAAATCAAAAACTTATGCTCATCAAAAGATTTCACTAAGAGTAAAAAGACAACCTACAGCCTGGGAAAAAATTTTTGGCTAGGACAAATCCGATCAGCATCTAATCTCTAAAATCTACAAGATACTGCAAAACCTCAACAACAAAAAGACAAATAACCCAATTAAAAAATGGGCAAAGGATATGAACAGGCACTTCTCCAAAGAAGACATTCAGGTGGCTAACAAACACGTGAGGAAATGCTCATGATCATTAGCTATTAGAGAAATGCAAATCAAAACTACAATGAGATACCATCTCACCCACACAAGGCTAGCATTAATCCAAAAAACACAAAATAATAAATGTTAGAGAGGTTGTGGAGAGACTGGAACACTTATACTCTGTTGGTGGGAATGTAAAACAGTACAACCACTTTGGAAATCGATTTGGCGCTTCCTTAAAAAGCTAGAAGTAGAAGTACCATACGATCCAGCAATCCCACTCCTTGGAATATATCATAGAGAAGTCAGCGCCATCACACAAATAGATACATGCACACCCATGTTCACTGCAGCAGTGTTCATGACAGCAAAAAGATGGAAACAACCTAGGTGTCCATCAATGGACAAATGGATAAACAAATTATGGTACATTCACACAGTGGAATACTACACAATGATAAAGAACAACGATGAATCTGTGAAACATCTTACAACATGGAGGAATCTGGAAGGTATTATGCTGAGTGAATTTAGTCAATGCAAAAGGACAAATACTGTTTAAGACCACTAGTATAAGAACTCAAGAAAAGGTTTAAACACAGAAGAAAACATTCTTTGATGGTTACGAGGGTGGGGAAGGAGGGAGAAGGGTATTCACTAACTAGATAGTAGACAAGAATTATCTTAGGTGAAAGGAAGGACAGCACACACTACAGGGGAAGTCAGCACAACTGGACTAAACCAAAGCTAAGAAGTTTCCTGAATACAACCAAATACTTCGAGGGACAGAGTAGCAGGGGCGGGGGTGTGGGGACCATGGTTTCAGGGGACATCTGGGTCAATTGGCATAACAAAGTTTATTAAGAAAATGTTCTGCATCCTACTTTGGTTAAGTGGTGTCTGGGGTCTTAAAAGCTAGTGAGCTGCCATCAAAGATGCATCAATTGGTCCCAACCCACCTGGAGTAAAGGAAAATGAAGAACACCAAAGACACAAGGAAAATATTAGTCCAAGAGACAGAAAGGGCCACATAAACCAGAGACTTAATCTGCCTTAGACCAGAAGAACTAGATGGTGCTTGGCTATCACCAATGACCGCCCTGACAGGGAACACAACAGAGAGTCCCTGACAGAGCAAGAGAAAAGTGGGGTACAGAACTCAAATTCTAGCAAAAAGACCAGCCTTAATGGTTTGACTGAGGCTGGAGGGATCCCAGAAGACATGGCCCCTGGACTCTCTGGTAGCCCGAAACTAAAACCATTCCCGAGGCCAACTCTTCAAACAAAGATTAGATTGGGCTATGGAACATAAAACAATACTCATGAAGAGTGTGGTTCTTAGCTCAAATAGATACATGAGACTATAGGCAGCTCCTGTCCAGAGGTGAGATGAGAAGGCAGAGAGGGTCAGGAGCTGGTTGAATGGACACGGGAAATCTGGGGTAGAAAGGAGGAGTGTGCTGTCACAGTATAGGGAGAGCAACTAGGGTCACATAACAATGTATGTATACATTTTTTGTATGAGAGACTAACTTGAATTGTAAACTTTTACTTAAAGCACAACAATAAAAAAAAAAAAGAAAAAAAAACCTATATGGGATCAAATTGAAAACAGCTCAAAAGGCTAGATGAGAAGCTTAGGGGGCAGTGAGTTTATCTTAATGGTGATAGAATAATTTGGAAAAAGACAATGAGAATGGCTGTACAACTTAAAAAACATAATCAATGTAACTAAATTATACATGTAGAATTTGTTGAATTGGTATCTGTTCTGCTGTGTATATTTTCACCACCAAAAAAAAAGAGTGCTCCATCCATTACATTATGTACTGCTTCTAAGAGAAGCCCTGGTAAGGGAGGCTGTATCACCTCCCTCCCCCGCATTTTGCAGATGGGGAAACTGAGACCTGAAGAAGGGAAACCACTTGCCCTGAGCAGAGCAGAACTCAGGTCTTCTGACTGTGATGGCTCCCTTATGTGAGAGCTTACAGTGTACAGGTGTGATCTCATCTAATCTGTACATCAAACCCTCAAGAGGCTGGTGCTCAGCTATATTTTATGGATTCTAAAATACACAAGTTTACACATTCAACATTTTTTAAATCTCTGAAATGGTTTAATTAGCAGCATTATTTCTTTCTTAATAATATCAAATTACGTGTCTTTCAGTCAGTGGTATTAGCCCCACTGTACAGGTAAGACTGATGGTCAGAGAGGCACATCTCTGGGCCAAGACCACACAGCTATTAAGTAGGGGAGCTGGGATTTGAATCCAGGTGTGACAGATTGCCAAAAAAAAAAAAAAAAAAAAAAATCCCTCCCATCCCTGCGTGCACACTTCTCTGCAATGTGACTTTGTTGCTTCTCCCAGCAAGAGCTGGAGTCTTTTTCAACCCTCACTTGAATCTGAACTGGCCTTATGACTTTCTTTGACTGACAGAATGTGGCAGAAATAATGTTGTGGGAGTTCTGAATGAGTCTAGGCCTCAAGGGGCTTTGAGGCCTCCACCCCACCCTCTTGGTGCCTTGAGAAGAGTCCAGCCTTATGAAGATGAGAAGCTATATGAAGCACAGATGAGCCATTCCAGCTGAGACTCCCTAGACTTGTGTTGTCCAATATGGTAGCCACTGACCATATGGTAGACATAACATGGACATGAAGCTTTCACAGAAAAACTCTGAAGGGGGTGGGAGCAGCAGCAGTGAGTCACTCAGCAGTTTTAAATTCAAATTAATTAAAATTTAAGTTCAAATTAGTTAAAATTAAACAAAATTTAAAATTCAGCTCCTCTGTCACACTGGCCACAACTTCAAGTGCTCGACAGCCACACAGGGCTAGCAGTAGCTATGATGTTGGACAGTGCAGATACAGAACATTTCTATCACCACAAAAACTTCCATTGGACAGCACTGTAAAATCAACCAGCTGAAGCCAGACAAGTAAGGGAGGCCACCTTAGACTACCCAGCCCCAGCTGAGGAAACACATGACTGCAGCTTTCTGACTGACCCCAGGCGAGACCAATAGAAGAACCATGCAGCTGAACTTGGCCCAAAAACTGTTGACCCACAGAATCATGAGCAAATAAAGTGGTTGTTTTGAGCTATAAGTAAGTTTTGAAGTGATTTGTTCTACAGCAAGCCCTATCTTAAACTCTAGGCCTGACAGCTTCCCTGGACAGTAAGTATTGTTGGTCAGGAGTTCAGCACCAGTGTCTCTGTCCAGTGCTACAGTGAAGCCCAAGACCCCCTCTCCTCTACTTCAGTTGTTCCCAGAGGCGTGGGGCCAGATCAGTCATGGCAGCAGGCCTGCCATCAAGGGGCAGGAGTTGGCATGATGACCACATAGCAGGCAGCCAGGCAGATGTGGCCTGAGGATGAGCAGCCAGGGAGAGACTGAGCATTAGGTGGGGCAAGGAAGGGATGGCACAGTGCTGAGGATCGCAGGGGAAGGTCTGGTCACCAGCTTCAGTGATTCCTGCCTGCCAGTGAACTCCTGAGCCATCAGTAAACCAACAGAAAGATGGCTGCTCTGCTGGGTGACAGTGGGCACACTGCTCATTTCTCACCTGGGCAACCGGGGCAGCCCCATCTCTCATCTCCCCGCCTACAGTCCTCTCCCACTCTCCACACAGCGGCCAGAGAGCTTTGCAGAACATGAATCTGATCAGGTTACTACCCTACTCAAACACTTCTATAGCTCCCTACTGCCCCTGGGGTAGTCCAAACCCCAACTTGGGCCCACAAGGCCCTGGGTTCTGGCCCCTGCTGGCCTTTCTGCCCCACCTCACTCCACTACCTGCCTCTCTCACTGGGCTCCAGCCTCCGGAGGCCCCCCCTTTCATTCCTCCAGCACCCAAGCTCCTTCCTGCCTTGGGGACTTCACACTTGGCTGTTTCCACAGCAGAGAATGCCTCTCACTTCCATAAATCCTCCTTTTCATTCAAGTCTCATCTTAAATGTCACCCCCTCATGGAAGCCACTCAGTCATCCCAGCAACAGGCCAAATCCCTGTCATTCACTTTTCTGACAGCCCAATCTTCTGTATTCCATTCATCATCTTTGGAACGCCTTGCCTTATGGCTGCCTCCCTCACTGCTCTCGCTGCTCCAAGAAAGCAAAGGTCCTTTCTGAATTTGCTAACTATATACCGAAGGTCTAGCACAGTGCCTGGCACATAGTAGGCACTGAATACATATTTGTCCTTCCTCTCTCTGAAAGCTCAGGCTGCTCACCAGGCTATGGGTGAAAGTCAAATGACAGCCACCCAGGCCTCTCCAGAAGAAACAGGAAGGGGCCAAGGTCTGGACCCTGAGAGCTGAGTGGGGCTGGGGACAGACCTGTCTTGTGTAGTTCATGCAGGAAGCGCAGGAAGATGGGGCGTGAATATAGGGGCAGCTCCTTTTCCAGAACCTTCGCAAAGTGCTCCAGGTCACAGCTGCCAGCGGGGTTGGCCACAGCAGCCATTCCAGCTCGGCCCTCAGTTCCTGGGAGCAGTAAGGTGGAGAGTGAGCGGCTGGTGGTGCCCCTGGTGGCGCCTCTTCCCACGCACCCCCCACCTCCCCACACGTACCTGGCACCTCAACGCCATACACTGCCACGTCGGCCATGTCCAACAGGCGGCTAAGCGTGCCTTCCACCTCAGTGGTGGACACGTTCTCTCCCTTCCAGCGAAACGTGTCCCCTGTGCGGTCTCGGAAGTACAGGTAGCCCAGCTCATCCATCACCAGCACATCGCCTAGGGAGGAGTCATGTGAGGCAGGGCTTGGGCCTGCCCGGGTTCTGGACACAGGGGCCTAAGCCAGGCTGTCCTCACTGGATCTCAACAATCTGTTTAACCATAAGGGCTGGACCTGGGGGAGTCCTGGGGAGGTATTCTCTGAAGGTAGGGAAGGTCCCCTCATTCCTCCCTCCCCCAGGAAGGGGCTGCTAAGGAAAGAAGGGGGCTGTGAAAGGCTGGGGAGAGGGTCCCACACACCAGAGAGGTAGGCCTGGTCCCCCTTCTTGAAGACATCCTTGGCAATCTTCTTGTTGTTGGCGCCCTCGTTGAGGTAGCCATCAAAGCGGCGCAGGGGGTCCTTCTGGATGATGCGGCCCACCAGCTGGCCCGGCTCACCTGGCGGCCAGGAAGGTGAAGTCAGATTTGGAAGCATCTCAGGTGCCCTCTTCCATCTGTTTCCTCTACCCCAGTCACCCTGTGCCCTGATCTGACTTCTACTTACACTGTTTCCCATGCCAATGCCCCATTTCTCCCCTAGCCCAGGAGATCTCTTGAGGCAGGGTGCTTACTGTGGCATGTCAGACACACACAGACATCAGCAATGTTTGTTCACTGAGTGGACGGAAAGATGAGCAAAGAAACAAATAGGCAGTCAACTCTACGTGGACAGCCTAACCAAAAGCCAGCACTTACTGAGCCCTCCTCTGTGCCTGGCTCTGCTCAAAGAGCTTTATGTTACATTCTTTATCATGCTTAATCCTCAGGTCAACCTGATGAAGTGGGTGCTGCATCGTCCCCCTTTGCAGATGAGGAAGCCCAGGCAAAGAGAGGCTGAATAACGTGCCCACATCACAGAGCTAAGTGTCTGAGCCAGGATCATTCTAGGTGGCCCAGAGTCCTCTCAAGCCAACATGAAGATAAATGAATGGACTGGTGGATTGATGGGATGGTGAATGAATGGATAAAAAAATGAATGACTTGTAGCACTAAGAGAAGAGGTGACTGGTGGCCACGGTCAGAGCAGGGCTCCCTACCCACCCACATCTGTTCTACCTCCCTTCTAGGCCAACCCCTTCCCCTCAGGTCCCCAACTCCAGCCCCAGGCAGACCTGGCTGGCAGGGAATGCAGACGCCGTCAGGCCCCCGGATCAGCTCCATGGTGTCCTCATTGACACGTACCAGCCGGATGGGGTACACGAAGGACAGAATGCGGCTGTTGAAGCCACAGGCCCCCACCTGCAAAGGCCAACACTTGGCCCTGGGTTGGGGGTGGGGAGCGCTCCAGCCCCCACACTCCCATGCTGGAACTCTGCCCTTGCCTCTGCCCTCCCAGTGCCTTTCATGGTACAATCCGTAGCAGCCCCGCCCGTGCCCCAACCCAGGCCGCACCTGGCTATCGAAGTTGCCCAGACTGCAGTTGCACTCAGTGGCCCCATAGAACTCAGCCACCTGGGGGATGTGGAAGCGGCTGGAAAAGTTGGTCCAGATGGACTGCCGGAGGCCATTGCCTATCGCCATGCGCACCCGGTGCTGGTTTTCCGCCTCCTGGGGTGGCTGGTTGAGGAGGTAGCGGCATAGCTCGCCGATGTACTGCACAATCTGGGGATGGTCTTGGCGTGATTCCAGGCCCCTGAGGTTGCTCTCACTTCATCACCTCCCAATCCCCAAACCCCTACCCCAACTAGTCCTTCTCCCCCAGGGGCTGGCCTTCCCTCTCTGGGCCTCAGTCTCCTCATCTGAACAAGGGGAATGCCCTGAGTGCCCTGAATGACCCCATCTGAATGAGTGGCCACCTCAGCTGTTAAGACAGGGATCCCCAAAGTGGTGTTAGTGGAAGGGTAACAAGGAGACGGGGCCAGCCCATCCCCTTCCCTTCTCACTCACCGTACAGTTGTACTTGATACAATCATCCCAGAACCGGGAGGCTGAGAACTTCTTCCGGATCACCACTGTCATGCCATGGAGCAAGCACTGCCCCAGTCCCACGATGTTTCCTGAAGGCAGAGGGTGGACCCCAGAGGTCAGGGAGATGGGACACCCTTCTGACCAGAACCTCCTCTTGCCCAGACCAGACTCCTAACAGGTCCCTTCCCCTGGTGTCTCCCCTTTCTATGCTGCTCCTCCTACACAAACTGATCACAACTCTCCCCTGCTCACTTTATGTGGCTCCCCAGTGCCATGGGATCAAGGGCACACTCCTTAGATTATCCCCCAGGGCCTCTGGATGGCCCCAAGCTCTTGCTCCCATGCCCATAACATGGCCATTCAGTCAGGAGAACTGACCTCACATCTGCCTGGCTTGGGTGAGCCTCCTCCAGGAGTCTCCAGGGCCCCCCATCACTGGACTCTTCCTGTATGCTTAGCTCCTGATCCCTGCCCTCCTCCATACTACTTATGCCATTTCTTGTATGAGAATTAGGTGGGTTCCCATCATTCATCATGCCCTAAACTCACACACCGGACTCTAAGTACCCTGAGGGCAGGAACTATATTTATCCATCTCTATCTCCTCCCAAGCCTCTAAAACAAGCAGCAATGCTGTACACATCTGCGGAATGAACTTGTGGTGCGATTAATTACTTTTGTGTGTAGCCTTTCCAGCCATGGTCTTGTGACTCCCACCTAGGTGATTGGGTGGGGCTGTGCAAATAAGATAATTGTGGCCCAACAAGGGGATTGGTCAGTTTTGCCTTAAAAGAGAGCCAATTCCAGAGCAAAGAGGAGGAGCCCACCACTACCAAGGAAGGAGAAATTAACAGCAGAGACAGCACAGTGGGCTTCCTGGCCCATAGAGAGAGAGAAAGCTGAGTGCCTTTGGGCAGAGACTGAGGGCCAGGGAGAGGCGTGCCTGCAAGCACAGCTGGGGAGAGGCTATCCTGATGCAAGAACTATATCCTGAGTGTTTTTGAGCCTGAATTGTAACTGTTACTTCCCTAATAAACTCCACAATTGTGAGTATGGTCTGTGAGTTTTGTGTGGCCATTGCAATGAATTATCGAACCCAGCAGAGAATGCTGTGGGAGGGTCAGCTGGTGTCAGAATTGGTAGAGATGGCGGAGTGAGGAGGCGTGTCTGACCTCCATTTTATAGGAATCAGCCTTGGGCTGTTGATCTTGGTTCTCTTTCTCCTTTGTGGGTTTGAAGGCGGTCAGACACCTCCCCGACACCATTTTTACAGTTGGTGTCAGGAGCAGGATTCTTTGCAATGGCTCCAGACTCATGAAAGCATGGAAATTTGTAACAGAAAGAATGATGGGGCTTGGGAAGTGAAACTCTTGATTCTTAGATGGTTGCTTTGGTTGTTTACCTGTAATGGCTGAAAAGCTGCACCTGGAGTGGCCTGGGGCAAAAGCCATGCCAGATAAGCAGGATGACTGATAGGGGGCCAGGGTCTTCTGGTCCCACCCAGCCAGAGGCCCAAGGCCATATGCATATGAATGGAAAGATACTTAAGGTGTAGAGAAGACTAAACTGGAGTGTTTTAAAAGGGTTATGTGTTTAAGATTACCCGTTTATCTGAACGTATGGATGTTGAATGTTTCTCCTACCTAGTGTCATAAAACTGACCTAAATGTATGGTAGAAATAAATATTGGCTGTTAATAGATTACAGAAAGCATGTAACTCTGCCTCCAGCCAACACTTGATTGGATATGTTAAAAGGGAACTAGAATTTGCCCAAAGAAACACAGGCTGTTTGAATGTAGTAGCCCTGTGTATAGAGTAGAAGCTTAGGCTGAAAACCTGAGCCCCACCCAGGTTAAACATTTGAAAAGACATGTAGAATCACCCAGAACTGCTGAGAGAATGGAAGACTTGCATTTGAAGGAAGAATTTACAGGAAACAAGTGGCTGTTTTGCTTTTTGAATTTTGAGCAAGCGGTTTGCTGTTGGGTGCATCGAGGCAGGAAAAGCCAGTGCCCATCAGAAGGAACCCCCTTCCAGAACTGGAAGTTAAAGGGAGCTGGTGAGTCGGCAGCTTGGTCTGCTCGCTTATGGTGACCACCTGGGTCCACTCAATGTGTCGAAGTGGGGGAAGTGCAGCAATGAAGAGACAGGCTGAATTTGGACACGTTCCCTTGGCACCCGTTAACCCAGCCCACGTGAGCTAGGGATGAGCGTGAGAGGAAGGGCTGGCTGGTCAAAAGTAAAGAGCGTTGTGTGTGGACTCCTAAATCTACGGTCCCAAGGGGGCTAGGAATAAGAGTATGTGAAGGGGCTGTCTGAAGTGCTGGGAGGTGTGTGTGAACTCTTGAGCCTGAGGCTGCTAACCATTGTGACCTAGCTTGGATGGCTATGGATGAGCTGACCAGAACCCAATCGAGTGAAGAGAAAGATGTTTGACACTTTGAGCTGGCGTAAACTGCTGCACCAGCTTGCTCTGGGCTGGACTTTGCTTGTGGATGCAGATGCTCAAAGTCCCAACCGGAACAGAAGATTCCTCAAGACCAAAAAACATGCTTGTTTCCTTAGAACACTGGTTTGACAGGGATGGGCAATTTAAACACTGGCTATCTAAAATGCGGGTGAGGGGTGGGGGTGAATAAAGGCATGAAGTGGCTGGCTTACATGCTTTCATGAGTGTGCTTACATTAAATGACGGGGACAAGGAAGGATCCCCACTGAATAGATTGCTCTTTCCTGATGGGTCTGGGGAAGATGCTGATAGGATTATATGATTCAGCTGTGAGTACTGATTGTTAAAAGGGTTATTTGTGATTGTAAAAACTAATTGTAGAAGCTGTAACTGAAAGAGTGGACTAAGGGGAAGGCGCTGCTGGACTAGAGTACAGTGGCTGAACCTACAGCCCCTTAAAGGTTTTGTTTATGCTGATACATCGTGAGGCTCAGAAAAAGGGAATAATCCTCTAGGTTAAATTTTTATGAGATGCCAGAAAGTGAAGACAAGATGAACTGTTAGAGCCTGACCAAATCAGATGGACACCTGCAGCAGACCTGTATGGCTGGCACCTGAGTAACCTCACCCTGAGGATTCTCTGCCCTATTGAAGGACTACTTGTTAATGACTGTTTTGGGCTGGTGAAATGATTAGGAGGGGGAAGTTATCCTACAAATATGGAAGAACCATGGCTAGAAAAGCCAGGGGGTGGCCTGCGGTGACATTAATTACTTTTGTGTGTGGCCCTTCTAGCCATGGTCTTGTGACTCCCACGTAGGTGACTGGGTGGGGCTGTGCAAATAAGATAATTGTGGCCCACCAACGGGATTGGTCAGTTCTGCCTTAAAAGAGCCAATTCCAGAGTAGAGAGGAGGAGCCCACCACCATCAAGAAAGGAGAGACCAGCAGCAGAGACCTAGCAGCAGGACACAGCACAGAGAGCTTCCTGGCCCACAGAGAGTGAAAGCTGAGTGTCTTTGGGCAGAGACTGAGGGCCAGGGAAAGGCATACCTGCGAGCACAGTTGGGGAGAGGCTATCCTGATGGAAAAACTATATCCTGAGTGTTCTTGAGCCTGAATTGTAACTGTTACTTCCCTAATAAACTCCATAATGGTGAGTATGGTCTGTGAGTTCTGTGTGGCCGTTGCAATAATTATTGACCCCAGCAGAGAGTGCTATGGGAGGTACAGCTGGTATCAGAATTGGTAGAGATGGCGGAGAGAGGAGGCATGTCTGACCTCCACCTCACAGGAATCAGCCTTGGGCTGTTGATTTTGGTTTGCCTTCCCCCTTGTGGGACTGGAGGTGGTCAGACACCCCCAAGCTATTTTTACACAACTATCAGACCTGCCTAGGCTTCCTGTGGGATGCTGCCATGCACACTGTGAGGCTGCCATGGTTACCCTCATTTAATAGATGAGGAGATGAGGTGGAGTCGATGGCAGTGCCTGGATTTGAACCCAGACATGACTCAGGTGTTTCCAGTACAACATGCTGACAGTGTGGGGTGGGCCTCCTGAGGACTTGGGGGGTGCTGGAGGCTGAGCGGGCTGGGCTAGGATTACCTGCTGAGTGGTAGAGGGGGAGGCAGTTGTAGACAATGTCATCTGGCCGCATGCGGAATCCATAGTACACCAAGGCAGCCATGCGGTAATACCTGGGCGAAGAGAGGGTAGAAGGGCTCAGTGGGCCCCTGGAAAGGTAGGAGGGGCTCAAAGGCCTACCTCCCCACCCCAGGCCCCTGCCCCTTACCTGCTATGCACTACAATGGCGGCTTTGGGCAGTCCAGTGGTACCTGATGTGTAGATATAGAAGAGCTTATCTGACAAAAGAGAGACACGAGCAGCTATGAGAGGGAGCAGCACAGCCTCCCTACCGTGCCTGGCACAGGGCTGGGCACGGAGTCAGATAGACAGATGGTTGCCTGCTTGTGTGCATCCTTCAACACTTGCTCCTATCACATCTCTTCCAGGAGGTTGCTCTGATGACCCCAGACTCTGCTCTCTGCTCTAACACCTGCATCTATCCACCCAACAAGTGTTTTCTGGGCCCTCACTCTGAGCCAGGCCCTGGAGAGATATTAGTGACTGAAATGGGCACAGTCCTTGCCCTCAAGGAGGTCACAGCTGAGTGGGACAGTCAGATGAGTACACAGGCAATTCCAATCCTGAGCACAAAATGCTGAGATGAAAGTAAGAAGCACAGGACCTGTCAAAACACAGTAAAGGCACCTGACCCAGGCTTGAGGGAGGGGAGGAGGCACCAGAGGGAACTTCTGGAAAGAGGTATACCTGTGCCAAGTCTTACAGCGTGGGTAGCATCAGCTACAAGAAGTGGGGTGTTCAGATAGAGGAAGAGACTGGGCACTGCACCACTGACCATTTATTTATCCTGCTCTTCCACCTTGAATAGGACTGTCATATTACAGTTTGCACTGGTGTTCACCAAAATTCATGCCTACCTGGAACCTGCAAACGTGACCTTATTTGGAAATCTTTACAGACATAAATCAAGTTAAGATGAGGTCACATTGTATTAGGGTGGGCTCTACTCCAATGACTGGTGTGTTTATCCATTGCCGTTGAGTCAACTGCAACTCATAGTGACCCTATAGGTCAGAGTAGTCTGCCCCATAGGGTTTCCAAGGCAATAATCTTTACAGAAACAGGCTACTACATCTTTCTCCTGTGGCGCGGCTGGTGGGTTTAAACCGTGGACCTTTCGGCTAGTCGCCAAGTGCTTAACCACTGCGTCACCAGGACTCCCAGTGTCCTTAGAAGAAGAGGGAAATTTGGACACAGATACACAGCGAAGGAACAGAGCTGTGTGAAGATGGAGGCAGAGATTAGTGATACTGCCACAGTTGAGGAATGCCAAGTATTGCCAGCAACCACCAGAAGCTAGAAGCAGCAAAGAAGGATCCTCCTCTAGAGCCTTCAGAGGGAACATGGCCCTGCTGACACCTTGATTTCAGACTTCCAGCCTCCAAACTATGAGAGAATAAGTGTCTATTGTTTTAAGCCACACAGTTGTGGTGATTTGTTACAGCAGCCCCAGGAAACTAATACAAGGTTCTGTACAAGGCTCAGCTGTATCAGACAGGAGGTTCCTGGAGGTCAGGAGCTCCGTGGGATGACTCCACATCATGTATCAACCATCTTATGCTCTCTGAATGCCTGTGTATGCCAGCCCTAGGCTGGGCGCCATGAGGGCACCTGGGTGAATCAGCCAGAGTCCCTGACCTATCAGACAGGAGGTTCCTGGAGGTCAGGAGCTCGGTGAGATGACTCCACATCATGTATCAACCATCTTATGCTCTCTGAATGCCTATGTATGCCAGCCCTAGGCTGGGCCCCATGAGGGCACCTAGGTGAATCAGCCAGAGTCCCTGACCTGAGGTAGCTTACAAAATCACCAAGGATACTACTCAGTCCTAAAGAGAAATGAAGTCCTGATGCATGCCACAACTCAGATGAACCCTGAAAACATCATGCTGCATGAAATAAGTCAATTGCAAAAGGACAAATACTATACGATCTCACTTATGTGAAATATCAAATATATAAACTCCTTGCCATCAAGTTGATTCCAACTCAAGCAACCCTATAGGACAGGGTAGATCTGCCCATAGGGTTTCCAAGGCTGTAAATCTTTATGGAAGCAGACTGTCAAATCTTTCTCCTGTGGAGTGGCTGATAGGTTCAAACTGCCAACCTTTTGGTTACCAGCCAAGTGCTTAACCACTGTGTCACCAGGGCTCCTTGCAAATATATAGAAACAAAAAATTAGTAGTAGTTACTAAGGGTAGAAGGAGCCCTGGTGGCACAACAGTTAAGTGCTTGGCTGCTAACCAAAAGGTTGGCAGTTCAAACCTACTCAGCCACTCTGCAGGAGAAGGATCTGGTGATGTGTCCCTGTAAAGATGAAAAACAAACCATTGCCGTCAAGTCCATTCCGCATCATAGTGACCCTATGGGACAGAGTAGAACTGCCCCATAGGGTTTCCAAGGCTGAAGTCTTTAGGGAAGCAGACTGCACATCTTTCCCCTATGGAGTGGCTGGTGGGTTTGAACCGCTGACCTTCTAGTTAGTGCTTTAACCACTGTGCCACTGGGGTTCCTCTGTAAAGATTACAGCCTAGGAAACCCTATGGGGGCAGTACTACTCTGTCACATGGGGTCACTGTGAGTCAAAATGAACCCGATGACACCTAACAACAACAAAGGGTGGGGGCGGGAAGGAGGAGTTTCTGCTTAGTGGGCATTGAGTTTGTGTGAACGGTGGTGGAAATGATTTGGAAAAGGATAGAATGGTTACATAACATGAAGAAATGCAGTCAGTGTCACTGAATTGTAGAAATTATTGAGATGGCACATGTTTTTTAGGTATACTTTCACAATTTAAAAAAAGCAGTGAGGAGGGAGGTTAAATAATGATGATGACAATGGCCAGTTACCGAGCACTTCCTGCTATACCCTAGCTTCAGGACTTCACCCACTGGATTGTTTTCAATCTTCAAAGCCACTGTATAAAAGACGTTCTGTTACCACCCCCAGGTTTATGGCTATGAGAAATGAGGCTCAGAGGGGCACGTCAGGTGCCTGGGGTAAAACAACGGCAGCAGCAGAGGCTGGGATCTGATCTCAGCTCTGGTCGGAGAGCCCAAGCTGTGCGGTTACACAAGGAAGGTGTGTGAGAGGTGCCCAAGGACCAGGTAGGCTGGAGTGTGGAGGAAGAGCGCTGAGAGGGTCAGGGAGGCTGCCAACAGTGTCTTGCGCTGAATAGGAGCTTGAAGAATTGCCCCTGTTCCCACAGCCCCAGGCAAAATTCAAAAGAAAAGCAGGTTCCCAGTATCCACAGATCCTGTGTGCACTAGGCATTAATGAAGGCTTTTTCAACAAACAAAAAAATTGGATTTTGTGAGCTCCTGTGAGCTTGGCACCATGCTGGACACTTTCACACACACCAGCTCATCTAACGCTCGGCAACCCTGGAGTATCTCAGGATTACTGTCCCCATTTTCTAGATGGGAAAACACAGGCTTTGGGAGGTGAAGTGACTTGTTCCAGGTCATATGTCATGTTTGCAGAACCCAGGCCTTCTGGCCCAAGGGCAGTGTTCTGCCCTTGGCCTATCTTAGAATCCCTGGGTGAGGGTGGGGGGCCCACCTGTGAAGCCCTTGTCAGGGGCACTGGGCGGGTGCTTAGGGGCATCTTCCAGCAGGGGGTCCAGATGCTTTGTGCCAGCGGGCACCTCGCTGGGATCCCAGGGGCCAGAACAGAGGAGGCTCATTGAGGGGTCCAGGCTGGCATGGATCTCACAGATAGCTGTGGGAGAGAGAGGGCAGGTCAGCAGGCAGGCCAGGAAATTCCATGTTCCTAGGACCTATGTTCATGTCAGGATGGTGATGTCAAGGGAGAATGACTGGGTTGGGGGATAGGAGGCCACTTCCAGAGATGGGTAAAGCACCCTGGACCCCATAATAAAGGAAGATGCTGATTGAAGCAACATCTCTCATTAGCTGCTGGCTAACTACACCAGCAGCTCTTTACATGCATTCTCCTGCTGATAAAACCCTAGGAAGTCGGTACCAACAACACCTCATTTTACAGATGAGGAAACTGAGGCTCTGAGAATGGAAGGGACTTGCTCACAGCTAGAGTGTGCTGGGCTTGGGATTCAATGTCAGCTCTGCCTCACACCAAGGTTTGAGTTCTTAAGCATTACCACACTATGCCATGGGGTCTGGTTGGAAGGAAAGATTGGGAGTCAGAAGCCAGCAGCCCTCCAGCCCCTTCAGAGAGTGAGAACCTTCTCTCAGGCTCCCCTGTGTACTACAGACATCCAAATACTCACCCGCTATCATCTCACCCCAACAAGGCTACCATTAATCCAAAAAACATAAAATAATAAATGCTAGAGAGGCTGTGGAGAGACTGGAACACTTATACACTGTTAGCGAGAATGTAAAATGGTACAACCACTTTGGAAATCGATTTGGCGCTTTCTTAAAAAGCTAGAAATAGAAGTACCATATGATCCAGCTATCCCGCTCCTTGGAATATATCCTAGAGAAATAAGAGTTGTCACATGAATAGATATATACACACCCATGTTCATCACAGCACTGTTCACTATAGCAAAAAGATGGAAACAACCTAGGTGCCCATCAACAGATGAATGGATAAACAAATTATGGTATAGTCACACAATGGAATACTACACAACGATAAAGAACAACGATGAAGCTGTGAAACATAACATGGAGGAATCTGGAGGGCATTATGCTGAGTGAACTTAGTCACAGAAGGACAAATATTGTATAAACCACTAGTATAAGAACTCAAGGTTTAAACACAGAAGAAAACATTCCTTGAGGGTGGGGAAGGAGGGTGAGGGTTATTTACTAACTAGATAGTAGATGAGAATTACCTTAGGTAAAGGGAAGGACAGCACACACTACAGGAGAAGTCAGCACAACTGGACTAAACCAAAGCTAAGAAGTTTCCTGAATACAATCAAACACTTTGAGGGACAGAGTTGCAGGGGTAGGGGTCTGGGGACCATGCTTTCAGGGGACATCTAGGTCAACTGGCATAACAAAGCTTATTAAGAAAATGTTCTGCATCCTACTTCGGTGAGTGGTGTCTGGGGTCTTAAAAGCTAGTGAGTGGCCATCTAAGATGCATCAGTTGGTCCCAACCACCTGGAGTAAAGAAGAATGAAGAACACCAAAGACACAAGGAAAGTATTAGCCCAAGGGACAGAAAGGGCCACATAAACCAGAGACTTCATCAGCCTGAGACCAGAAGAACTAGATGGTGCCGGGCTACCACCAATGATCACCCTGACAGGGAACACAACAGAGAGTCCCTGATGGAGCACGAGAAAGGTGGGGTACAGAACTCAAATTCTAATAAGACCAGACTTAATGGTCTGACTGAGACTGCAGGAACCCTGGAAAGCATGGTCCCTGGATTCTCTATCAGTCCAGAACTAAAACAATTTCCGAGGCCAACTCTTCAGACAGGGATTGGACTGGACTGTGGGACGTGGAGTGATACTCGTGAGGAGTGTGCCTCTTAGCTCAAGCAGATACAAGAGACTAACGGGCAGCTGCTGTCCGAAGGTGAGATGGGAAGGCAGAGAGGATTAGTAGCTGGTTGAATGGACATGGGGAATCAGGAGTGGAAAGGAGGAGTGTGCTATCACAGTATGGGGAGAGCGATTAGGGTCACATAACAATGTATAAATTTTTGTATAGGAAAAAAAAAAACAACTAATTTGCGCTGGGTGTAGGCAGTCCTGGCCTGTTCAAATTCACTTCCTCTGGCTCCCACTTGATTCGTCCAACCCTCTCCTTAATGTATCGTTCCTTCTCCCCTTTCAGCATCTTAATAACCTTCCCTATCCATTAACCCACAACCATGGCAGTGTGGGAAGAAAGAACACAGACACTGTGGTGACACCCAAGATCAAATTCAAAGATGTGGAACAGAACCTCGAATTCTTAATCTAGACTTTTTGGACCAGTGGAGGCCAGAGGACTCCCCGAGACTATTGCTCTGAGACATACTTTAATCCTTGAGCTGGAACCATCCTGTGAGGTCACCTTTTAGCTAAATAATACATTGGCTCACAAAATAAATATCACCTGTAAGCAATGTGCCTCTTTAAAAAAATCACCTATATGAGACTAAATGGTCAAAAATTACTTTAAAACACAGATGAGAAGGTAAGGGGGCAGGGAAACTAGATTACTGGAAATGGAACAACCAGAACGGAAATAATGAGAACGTTCACACATTTGTGGAGAACATAACCAATGTCGTTGAACAGTCTGTGTAGGAATTGTTAAGTGGGAATCTAATCTGCTGTATAAACTTTCACTGAAAACACAGTAAAATTTTTTTTTTTTTTTTACACAAAAGATCAAATCCAAGTGCCACCACTTACCAGCTGTGTGACCTCAGGTGAGTTCCTCAAACCCCACTGAACCTGTCTCCTCATCTGTAAAACCAAGATGGCAATCCCTACCTCACCAGGTCTCTGTGAAGATTAAAGTTGCTGCACAGAAAGCACCAAGCTCAGCATCCTGTCAGTGCTCAACGTGGCAGCAAATAAAGCACAAGCTCTGTGAGGAGTGCAGGGAATGGATTCATAATCCCATTTTATAGACGAGGCAAGTGAGGCCTAATTAGTCACAAGAACGGTTACCATTATATCTGCATTAGAGCTTCAGGTAAAGTATCTTCTTGAAAACAGTATAGGGTTAGTGCAATAGCTGAGGAAACTGAGGCTTAGAGAATTCAGCAACTCCAGCTTACAAGGGGCACAGTCCAGGTGGTCTGACTCCAAGGCTCATGCCCTTAACCACTGAGCATGATGCCTCCCTCAGCGGGGAGCTGTGGCCTGTACAGGGTCCTGAGGGACTCCCTGCCCATCCCCCATCTACTGACTCACCCCCCTGGGGCTCACCTGGGGCCATCTCGCGGCCAAAGACGAGGGCCCGTGCCTGCGAGGTGGTCAGGCAGTGGCGCAGGGCATCCCGCCGGAGATTGGTGTTGATGAGTGCTGCCTCTACGCCCAGCTTGGCCATGCCCAGCCACAGGCCCACGAACTCGTTGCGGTTCTCCATGAATAGGGCAGCCACATCGCCCGAGGCCAGGCCCAGGGCCTGCAGGAAGTTGGCCACGCTGCTTGAGTAGTCATCCAGCTGGCGGAAGGTCCAGTGGGTATCTGTGCCCTCGAAAATCAGGGCTGTCTTGTCAGGGTGGCGCTGTACCGTAGAGGCAAATAAAAGGGGCACTGTCCGCTTCTCCCGCAGGTACCGCTGCACCTTTGTCTTCACCTTCAGGAGCACCAGGCCGCCGCTGTGTGGGAGCAAGGGAGCTGTGTCTGCCTGGCGGGGGGCCCTGACACACTAGCCCAGGTTTCAGTCCCACCAGTCTGAGCCTCATCTGTCAGATCACTCATAACAGTCCCCTTTCCCAGCACTTACTAGGTGCCAGGCACTGGATAAGCCCTGCCACATGCACAATCTTAACAGTGTCTCACAATAACACTAAGGGATTGGTGAAATTACTCTCTCCCCTGTACAGATAAGGAAACTGAGGCTCAGATGGTGCAGTGGCTTACCCAGGGCCTCACAGGCAAGACGTGACCAAGCTGGTATTTGAATACCAGGCTTCTCTGGCTCCAGAGTTCAACTCCTGCCCCCTGAGCTCTGCTCTGAGCCTACTGCTCTGTCAGAAGCCTTTCAGGCTCCCCAGGGCCCCAAGTTCTAGTCCAAACTCCTCATTTGGGGCCTCTCATAGCCCCTGTAATGTACTTTCCTCCCACCACTTATCACCATAGTAAATAAAGAACGAATTTGCCTATTTGTCATCTTTCTCCCCATGAACACAGCAAGGGTGGAGCTGTCTTGTCACCACCTTGTCCCTTATGCCCTGCTTGATGCTGGGCACAGAGTAGATGTTTAGTAAGCGTTTGTGGAATCATTTGGCAATATTCGTCTTTCCTGCCCACCCCACCACCACCTTCCAGCCCCCCTGAAACGCCCTCAGCTCTCCAAACTCCATGCCTTTGCTGATGCTGTTTCCTCTGGTTGGAATATCCTCCTCCCACCACTTTCAAGGCACAGCCCAAGCACAATTACTTTTCCTCCAGCAGACACTCTCTGATTCCCCAGGCCCCTGATCTAAAGCCATCTCTCCTTGCTCCACCACGCTCCCACAGCTGTGATGACCCTTCCTGCTGTGGTCACTCGATAATACCGTGTTCTGTAATCAATTCAGGTCGACAAATGCTGAGCCACCTAGCATGGGCCTGGGACAGGGCTAGTTCTGGAACACAGTGGTGGGCAAGACCACTAAGGTCTCTGTCTGCATGATGCAGCCAATTTAGTGGTTTACTGTCTCCTTCTTATCTTCCTGACCAGTCTGAACTTAGCCAAGGAGTGGACCTGCTTTGTTCCTCTCTGGGCCCCAGAGCCCAGCCAGGCGCCTGTCACCGAGGAGGTGGGAGCAGATGTTTCCGGTACAGGATGGCCCTGTGGACCATGACTGGCTTTCTTTTGGTAGCAGGTTCTCCCAGACACTTGACTCAGGGCTCTGCCTAGGACTGTCAATGCCCCTGTGCCCTCTTATACTCATGCCAACCTGAGGACAGGGCCTTTCCCACAGGGAACCTCTTCACCCTCTCACGAGTCCTTGGGAACTCTAGTTAGGGCAATTCCCCAGGAGGAGACTCTGACCTTAGAGATGAAGGTTCCAGGTATTGGAAAGGTTACTCCTCTGGGGTTCAGCTGCCCTGTGCTGACAGAGGCCATGGGGTCTGGTCTAGGGAGATTTGGGGGATTAGGACCCCAACGTGGCATGGGAGACCCCAGGAAGGGCTGGACCAGGTACTCACAAGATATCACGCCTGATGGTCTTGAAAAAAATCCGGATGAAGCGCCAGCCACCAGACCCCAGGTAAAGGAGCAGCAGGGAGAATCCCACCTGAGTCCAGGGAAGTTTCAGCACCAGCTGGGAGAACAGCAGTACCCCCACCAGAGACGCCCCAAGCAGCATCGTGGCCTGTGGGTACAAGGTGGTCAGCATACAAAAACTGTGTTCCTTGAGTCCCCTACTTCCTGGCCCAGGCAACCAGACTACTGTTACCCCAAAGGGATGAGACCTAGCCACACTGAGTGCTGTGGCTGAAGACAGGAGTCCCTTCCCAGGCTTGGCTCCCATGGCTAGCTGGAAGGGGCAGGCTAGAGGCATGGGACTTGAGATGAGGAGTTTCAAGGGTGAGAGGGAGGTGGCTGGCTGGGTTCTAGTTCCCTAGTGTTATCTCTGCCTGCCATTCTCCGAATGACCTTGGGCGAGACCCTTTTCCACTTTAGGCCTTAGCCTCCCTCTCTGTGCCATGGGTGTAGTGAGACTTGCTCTCTGAGGCCCTTCCAGCCAGAACAGGGCAGTCCACTCTCCTGGCACTCAGGGCACCTATCAAGGTAAGGGTGGGCAGAGATCTAATTAAGTGCCCGCGACTTAATTCCCCACTCAGAGGCCCAGGGAGGTTCTGTGGATGGCCAGGCCACAGCACCCAAAGGGGACGCTGCTCAGTCCCTGCCCACAGGCACAAGGAATGCCTTGCTTCTGCTGGCCCATAGAGGGCAGCGAAACAAACAGGTTAGAGCCTTGAGGTGCCGGAGAAGTGACCGCCCAGGGGAAAGGTGATTGAGAGAGGAAGAGGGCCTTAAAGGCAACCCCACACACTTAACCAGCAGCTCAGCCGAATCATTGGGTCTGGGGCTTAAGGGGATGGGAACTGCTGACTGTGCCACAAGGGTTGGGCTGAGATTAGGACTCTATGGCTCTGTTCCTGACGCTTTGTGTACTTGCTCAAGGGAGCAGCAGGTGGGACTCAGTTTTCCTTCGGGTTCTCCTATTCCTGGGGAGGGGATGAAGGTCAGTCACGGCTATGAAGTAGCCTGAGAGTGTCTGGGCCAGGATGAGAACATGGTCCAGAACAGAAGGAGCCCTTACAGATCGATCCCTCTACTCCCCGCGAAAAGCCAAAAGCGGGGGGACCGAACCAGCGCCCCCAACCCCAATGCCTGGGTCTCCAAGGTCCTCAGACCTTCGGCATCCCAGGGCAGAGGGCAGGAACCCGTCCAGGAAGGCCGGGAGATGGAGCGAGGAGCGGAGGTGAGAAGGTGCCCAGTTCCCTCGGGCCAGCGTCCCGGGTCATGGGGACGCCCTCGCCCCTAGAGATCCAGGGTAACAAAGCGTCCGGCTAGAGACAGAGGGACAGGGCGCGCCCCCCACCTGAGGCTGGCCTCGAGGCCAGGCACATTCCCCCGCCCGGGGACTCGCCGGCCCGGCCTGTGCTCACCTGGGGTCGGCCTCGCCGCCCGGTGCCCAGTCCAGATGCGGCCCGGCTGGTGCAGCGGAGTGGGGAGCGCGGAGGGCATCAGCCGCCCCTGGACGCTCAGAGCCAGGTCTCAGCAGAGCTCCGTCGCCTCCGAGCCCTGCATGGCCCGGCCGCCCGGACAGCCCCGGCCGCCGACTGGCCACGCCCGCCCGCCACGCTCCTCCCCCGGCCGCCTCCCGCAACCCAAACCGGCTATGCAGGCAAGCAGCACTGCCTACATCGCCTTTCCCGCAGCCGGTGCGCCGCAGAGCCGGTCACGCAACTCAGCCCCAGCACCGCCCGACGCGACCTGGCCTCCGTCGGCCCTGCATGCGGGTCAGCCTTGGGCGGTGCCGCCGCGCGGCACTCTGGGAGTTGTAGTCCGTGCTGCGCAGCCCCGCCTAACGGCGGAGACCCCGAAGCCGCGAGGAGGAGGTAGGCTGGATCTGCCGCATTCCCCCCAGAGTCCCCAGGGAGGAGGGCACCGCCATCCCTACTGTCAGCGGAGAACCTGGAGCCCGTTCCTCAGTTCAGGGTAGAGTTTCACAAAGGCCCAACGCTCCGCCTAGAAGAGTGCTAAAAGGGCGGTTTAAGACGGAGAGGTGAGCTGGCGGTACACCTTGGCATCTGGCTCTGTGGCAGAATGGATAGCGCATTGGACCTCTATCTGAGCCTGGAGTGGCCATTCAAAGCTTCTGGGTTCGAGTCCCACCAGAGTCGAATTTTGATGACTCGTCCTTAACTTCCACTGGACATTTTATGGCCTTCAGTATCTTTATAAAGCTTAAAAACCGTTGAAAATCTCCAAATACCCGCAACTCTCCCTAGCCTGAGGCTGCTGTCTGCTTGAGTATTAAGACTTAGCAAGCCGGGCCGCTCTGCACCCTAAAGATCAGCTCTTCTTCCAGGACGGCAATAAATTTAGCGCCTCGGTTATTGTGTACAAATCCTGTCCCATCCCTGCTACCTTGTAAGCAGTCCTGCACACCTGGTAGCACAAAGGGCAAGGATTGAAAACCATACTTAACTTTAGCCTCTTATCACTCCATGCCCTGCAGCAAATCAGTTAACCTCCCTAAGTCTATGGCCTTGTTTGTCATGACACTTGCCTAGCCCTGGGTGCTAGGAGAGCTCCCCAGCCCTGTGGGAAGCTCTGGACCTCTGATAACTTGGTTACCTGATAATCAAAAATGTTGGACATTGCAGCTACCATTTGTCTTTAAATTACCAATTGCCATGAATCGATTCCAACTCATGGCGACCTCATGTGTATTAGAGTAGAACTGTGCTCCATTGGGTTTTCAATGGGTGATTTTTTGGCAGTAGATCTACAGGCCTTTCTTCTGAGGTGCCTCTGGGTGGACTCCTACCTCCAACCTTTCTGTTAGTGGCTAAGAGTCTGCATCATCCAGGGACAGTCTTTAATAGATCTGCTTAAATCTTTTTGCTGGATGGTTCAGTGGAAGTCTTTTCAAAGGTAGAGGAGGGGAGGCAATTTCAAGGTCTATTCATAGGGATTATAAATGAAATTTTGGACTGATAAGAATTTGGATCTTCTTTTGGAACATAGGGTGCATTCTTTTGGAGGACCTGGGTAAATTAAGGCACCACCTTCTCGGTGGGTGTCACATTCAGGAGGGCATATGGTGCAGTGGTTATGGGCATAGACATTGACATCCAACAGACTTGGGTTCAGCTTCTCAGTTTAAAGTTCAAAGTTTCAGTTTCCTCTTACATATAAATATAGGGACATACTAATAGTGCATACTAATAGCTCTGGTAGCACAGTGGTTAAGAGTTTGGCTGCTAACCAAAAGGTTGGCAGTTTGAATCCACCAGCTGCTCCTTGGAAACCCTCTGGGGCAGTTGTACTCTGTCCTATAGGGTTGCTATGAGTTGGAATTGACTCAACGAGAAGTTTTTGTTTGTTTGCTTTTTTAAATAATGTTTACAGGGTTGGTGTGGAGATTCAGGGGGAGCATTCAAAGTAGTGTATTTATTATTGTAGTTTACAGGCTCATTGACCACATTGGTCATGATCAAAATTTAGACCTAGAGATTATCTCTGATTGTATCTACAGGGTTTAGCAAATAACAGAAACTTGATAAATGTTGGTGGAATGAATGAAAGAAAAAGTGAATTGGAGGCTCTGACCTAACCCACACCAGAATCCATGGGTGTAACTGTGATTATTTCCACATTGACTCCCAGAATCATATGCAAAGTGGGCAAGGAAGAGCATAGGGGAGGGAAGCAGTGAGCCAGCCTACCCACTCTCCTCCAGCCAGGATGGTCACATTGATAAAACCATGGCAGTACTCAACACTGAACCAGGCCTGGGGAGGGTGGATGCGGGCAAGGAAATCCAGAGGGAACAAGACAGGCTGCCTTCAAGTTGTTTACAGTCTAGATAGATACATAAAGAGAGAGCAGTCACTCTAGGAAGAGAGACCAGCATTAGCATAGGTTTGGAGATTAGACAGCTAGGTTGTCCTTCACCAAGTGCTCACCATACTTCCTGTCAAAACGATCACCACACATTATTGTAATTATTTATTTAACTGTCTTTGCTTTCCAATTAGATCTAGGTTGCACTCCTGGTCCCAGCTCTGAGACTTCAAGCAAATCACCTCTCCCCATGAATCCTCAGTGTCCTCATCTGTAGAATAGGTATAGTCACCATGGTCCCTGCCTCCTAAGGCCGGGTAAGGATTCAATGACATGATACATGTCACACTCTTAGCACAGAGGGCCCTCAGCCAGCACAACCGCCCAACTCCAAGATGATAGGGACAGAGCTGTCTCTATCAATGCTGGACCTCCAGCATCTACATATGGTAAGCACTCAGGAGATATTTGTGAAACGATTCAAGTGGGCTTGTGCATTAGGATACATAAAGAGAGGAGGGCTATGTGGTGGGAACAGCAATTGGAAAGGCCTTTGTGTGCCAGGCTGGGGAGTTTATCCTGGGAGGGGGTCCAGTGAAGAACCACTGCAGGTTTTTAAGAAGGGCAGGGACTGGATCCTGTCATTTGCGGGAGAGGCCTAACTTAGACTGATCTCACAGTAGGTGCCTTCCCACTGATGTAACCCCAGCTGCACTGCGTTAGGGAACTAACATCAGCCCTTAAGTTTCCAGACTTACCAGAAACTGACATTTGGATTCACTCGAAGGAGTTAAACCTCCCCAAGGGACTGAAGTAGTTTGGCCCCTGGCCCACAGTAGGTGCTTACCCCATGGATATTTAGTTCCATTTGGCATTAGGACCTCTGAGCTGTACTAGCCCCACAGTCTGGGTGTGTGCAAAATAAATACCTCTGGTTTGACTTTACACATGGTGACTTCAGAGGCCTTGAAGAGCCTTCCTGACAAACCACAGCTTCCATTTCCCAAGTGGTTACCAGATGCTAAGCACTATACACACACACACAACATACACGATTTTACGGAGCTTCGCATTGACTGCTGTGAAGCAGGTATACTACTCTCCTACTATATAGAAAACAGCTCAGAGGGGTGATGTGACTACTGGAAGGGTGCACAGCTTGTCAGTGGCAGAGCCAGGTCTGCCTGCCTTCAGAGCCTATGCCCCCAATCACTGCTCTGGGGTCAGCTACATATGGTTTGTATCAGGCAGAGTGGGAAAGGGGCTTTCCTTCAGCTACTAGGACAGGACTCAAGACTTGTGTGTCCCAGAACAGGGTCCGCCACATGCCAGCTGTGAGACCTAGGAGACTCCCTGAACCTGAGACTAGGGTCTTCACTATGAAGTGAGGCCCAGCAGCCTCTGCTCCTGGTGTTGTGGAGACTGAGTAAGAGCTTGCAGGTAGAGTACTCAGCATGGGGTATGGCATCCATTTTTTCAACAATGAAATACTAAGCCCATACTGTGTGTAGGTAAGGGGAAGAGTAAGGTCTCTGCCCTCCTGGAACAGACTTGTCCTAAGTGGACAAGCTGAGAATTTGAAACCAGGTCTACCCAACTTCAGATCAGAGAAGGTGGGACGAGGAGCTGAAGCTCAGGTTGGGAGGGGAATTTCTGTTCAGTGTTGGGAGGGCCCAAAGCTGCAGGAATCACAGACAGGACTGGCGTCAGCAAACACTGGGGATAAAGGGAGGAGTAGCAGACACTTGACCTGATGGGAGCCTTTATTCAGACAGCAAAGACTTGCCTACCTCTTCTAAGGCCTTTGGAATTGGGTATAGCCCTCACTCCCATGGGGATACCCCAGCCTGACCCCCAGAAAATTCTGACAGGGAGGGGTCCAGAACAGATCCCTGGGTTGTGGATCTGGGATATCCTAGCGTGAGCCTAGACAACTCATCCCTGTTCATATGTACTTCTCCCTGGATGGCTCTTGGCTCCCCTGGGAGCTTCCACTGTAATGCCTACTTTTTCCTGGGTTGGCCCTCAAGGCCACTCAGTGGTGATTATGGCAAATTATGATTAAGTGATGTCGAAGGGTCGGTGTTCAAAGAAAAGGAACAAAGGTGGTGGCAAAGAAGCTCTCTGTCCTTACAGGACACGGGGTTGGGGGAGGCAGGCCAGGGCCTCCTGACTCAGTGACTCAGGGCCTAGACCAGGCCCTTGAGGTCCACAGGGGGTGATGTGATGCCCAGCTCCTCCTGCAGAGCCCTCAGGGGCTGTTCCCAGCGCCGCTCGTAGTACAGGTTGAGGACACACGGGGCTCTGCGCCCGTTCTGAACTGCCCATGGGATCAGCTCCGAGACTAGCACTTGCAGGCTCCTGTGGGGCAGTAGAAGAGAAAGAAAACATAAGGTCCCTAAGAGTTGAGCACTTTATGTGCGAAGTGCCTGACTCACATTTTCTCAGTTCATCCTCACATAGACCTATGAAGGAGGTAGTTATTATCCTCACTTTTCAGGTAAGAAAATGGGAGCTCAGAGAGGTACAATCCTGTGCCCATCTTGAACATGCCAAAGCCCAGACTTAATTAAAGGGCTACCTAACTCCAGAAACTGACACTACATTGCCTTCCCATTGTCTCTAATCACTGACCCCAGTGCTGAGGCCTGACTCAAGACACCCTAGGATCTCATGAGATGTTCAAGCTTTACTCACTGCCCTGGAGACCCCCACCCCTTGGCTCCCCTGGGAGCCAGTTTCACCCCTCTGCCCCACTCCTTCCACCCTTGCTTCCTGGAGAGCCATCAGGGCTGCTCAGGGGCCTGTGTGCTCTTCCCATTTCCTAGAGCCCTGGCCCCTCTGAGTCCTTCCCTGACCCCTGGCCACTTGAGAACTTA